TGAAATTGCTGGCTTATGTGATAGCTCTAGTTTGAGGAACCACTCTTCTGTCTTCCTTAACCATGATACCATTTCACATTTCACTGATAGTCACAGGGGTTCTGATTTCCCTACATCCTTTACCAACTCTTGTTATTCTCTATTTTCAGCAGTAGCCATACTAATAGATGAGAGAATGGTGTTTTGTTCTTCTTTGTGTCTTCTTCCCTCCCTCCCTTCCTCTTGTCCTTCCTTTCTTCCTTCTTTTTCTTCAGCTTTGGAAACATTTTGATGTAGTGGGGGTCAAGCTTTGTTGCAGAATATTTGTTTAACTATGTAAAGATTGTTGCATTTGTTTAATTATGTAAAGACATGTTGCTGTTTTACCTTGACTTCTTAAGGCACCTGATTGGTCTAATAAAAAGCTGAATGGCCAATAGTGAGGAAGGAGGTAAAGGCAGAACTTCTGGGCAGGGACAGTAAGTAGGAGGAGGAACATGGGCTGGAAAGAAGAAAGAAAAGCAGACAACAGAGATGGCAGAGGCCAGCTAGCCAGACACAGAGGAAGCAGGAAAGCAGGACACACAGAATAAAAGAAAGGTAAAAAGTCCCTAGACAAAACATAGATGAATAGAAACATGTTAAATTAGATTGAACGATCTAGTGGGATAAGCCTAAGCTGAGGCTAAACATTCATAATTAATAATAAGTCTCCAAGTTTTTATTTGGGAGCTGGTTGTTGGCCCAAAGAAAAATTCCAACTACAAAGCTTCAGTGCATCCTATATCACTGAGCCACACCCAGACCCTCACTGTGACATTGGTTTGCTTTGCCTTATTGATTAGTACTGCAAAACATCCTTATATATGCTTGTTAGCCATATTTTTCTCCGTAAAGACACCTATGAGAATTTTAAAAAGACCACATTCAATCTGTATACTGCTTTGAGTAGTAGTGATACCTACGCAATAGTTATTCTTCCAATGCATGGACATGGGCTGCATTTCTTTCTACTTTGTTATTTAATAACATTTTGGAACATTTTTTACATTTAGTGTAAAATCTCTTATCTCCTGGTTAATTTCTAAATATTTTATTCTTTTTAATTCAGTCACAAATGAAATTATTTTCTTAATTTTCTTTTCTGATTGTTTATTGTTAACACAGGAACATTCAACTGAGTTTTACATATTGATTTTGTGTCCTGAAAGTTTGCTGATTCACTTTCTTGCTCTAGTAGTTTACTTATGAAATATTTGAAATTTTTATATATATGTAAGATCATGTTTGTGAATTATACTTATTTGGATCCTTGATTATATTTTCTTTTTTCATGTATATCTGTACCTGTTTGGGAAGACCAAGGTTGACATTAAGAGTCATCCATATGATGGCCCTTCCACCTAACTCATTCAGGTGGGTCCTCTCAGTCAAACCAAGAACTCACCAATATGGCTATTCTCACAACCTAGCTTGCTTTGCAGATCCCCTGTCTCTATCATCTAAGATTGGAATGGCAGGTGGCTACCACACCCACCTCATATTTTCATGGGTTCTGGGGAAGCATTTTCTGGTCCTCATACTTGCATGACAGTTGCTTGCTTAACTACTGAGCTTTGTTGATTTGTTTTGTTTTGTTTCAGTTGACGTGAGTTTGAGTCATCTGGGAAGAGGGAGCCACAATTGAGAAAATGCCTCCATCAGATTGCCTGTAGGCAGGTCTGTGGAGCAGTCTCCTGATGAATGATTGATGTGGGGGGCCCAGTCCATGTCGGGCAGTGCCGTGGTTATAAAAAGAAAATGTAAACTGAGTGAGCCATGAGGAACAAGCCAGTCAGCAGTACTTCTCCACAGTCTTCTCTTCAGCTCCTGCCTCCACGGTCCTGCCTTGAGTTCCTGCCTGATGTTCTTTCATGATGGACTATAAGCTGCAAGCTAAAATAAGTCACATTTGGTCATGGTGTTTACCACAGATATAAAGAGCAAAACAGGACACAAGCCGTCTCCTCCATCTTGGTATTTTAAGGATAAAATACAGAACAGAAGAAGTCTCAAACTGAAGTTCAAAATGACATCCTCCCAATTCTCTCGACTGCTTCCATCTAAGCTGTTTTCCTTCCCTGGGCTCTGACCTGAGCACCAAGGCCACCAGCTGGCTGGAGCCACCTCAACAGTTAGGCCAGGAACACCTTGGCAAAGACCAAGTGTCTTTCATAGAGTTGTCAACAGTAACAACAGAAAATAAATAAATAAATAAACAAAAACCAGATCAAGCTCTCACAACTGCCTTCACTTAGCCATTGCTTCATTGGTCCATCAGAAAACTGTCCACTAAAAACTCATGGTTCCACTGTGTTGAACTAACACACCAGGCTAAAAGTAAAAGAGGAGTCACACGAAAATTCCCTGTCCCCAAGCTTGGGGTAAGCTCTTTATCTGGCCTTCCAAGAAATCAGGATTAGAGAGAGAACAGGCAAAATTTCACAAATCGGGCAATTTCAATTGCCATGACAATGAAGTTCTTTCTGCCATCATCTTTACACTGAAAATGTAACCAAAAACAGCCTGTCATTTACCAGCTACTTTCCTATCATCCTCTTTTAAAGTAACTTTGAAATGACCAGTCTGCCTTTTATTTTATTTGTTTCTGCTTCCATTGTCCACATTCTTTCTGCAAAAGTACCCTTATATGCCCAGTAAATCACAATATTTATTCTATTTATTTGCTTTGAATTAATGAGTTACCCAATTAATTAACTAATTATTTGTGCTGTTCCACCGCCCAGCTATACTCCGGTTCTTCTTGGTTTTATTTTTATCAAATGAAATGTTGTTGTTCCAACCAGAATAAAATTAAAACCAGTTAATACCTTCAAACTCTCTGGTGTAATGCTGTTTCTTGAGTCTGGGTTCCAGACATGGGCACTAAGATCAGTGGCATCTATGATCTGGGTGCTTCCTCTGACCCATGTTTTTAACGCTGTGACTATGGCTATGTTGGACGGTAGCTGTGGTCCTGAGTTCTACCTCAGAATCTCACTTGTAGCCTGTCTTTGCCTTTCCCTTTACTCATTCAGACTGAACTTATCTGCCCGTTTATTTCTTGAGACTTGAACTCTGGCTGTAGGAGCCAGTCTATTCCCTCCTTTTCCCAGGTCGGGGGCCCAGGCCTCTCAACCTGGACAGTCCATTTTTCAGAAAGGGCCAATGTCTATTCTGCATGAGGGTTTTATTACAGGGAATAATGGGATAAACAACACATCGCTCCCCTTTTGCTTTTTAGTCTCTTAGAGCATTTTTTTTCTGAGCAAAGCAGTGTTTGTGTTATGCACGCTCCTGTGTCATTCAGTGACATGAGCAAGTAGCATCATGTCAGGGCTCACCCCTTCTACCCGGCATGGAGGACCAAACTGTCCTACCCTCCCATGCAGAGTCCTATGTTGGCTGTCACTAAGTCCCTCATTCTGGATCTCTCTATTTAAATGATATGTCCCTGAGGGCAGTGACAAGAACATGAAATATCATCTCGGTTTTGTTAAGTAACAAATTACCATTTCTTCCATTTTCTCTTTGACAAAAAGATCCATTAGATTTACAAGGCATTACATTTTCTTCTCAGTTATCTAAAACCATAAAAGAGTATAAGATATGCTCTATAAAAGCTAGCCTGGGGGCTGCAGAGGTGGCTCAGTGGTTAAGGACCTGGGTTTGTTTTTGAACATCCACAAAGCAGCTTGTAACTGTTTGTAACTCTAGGCCCATGGGATCTGATGCCCTCTTCTGGTATTGTGTACACATGTGGTACACAGACATACGTGCAGACAAAATACCCGTACATATAAATATGCATTTACATACATGCATGCATATATGTTAGTCTGGTTGGAGCAGGGAAGATTTCCTTTGTTTACTGTCTTAGAAGCTTTCTGGGTTTCTGTTGATATTTCCCTTTTTATAATGGACTTGAATGACCACAAAGAAAATCCATTTTGTACTCATTATGTGAGAGTGTCCCTGTCAGTGAATGCCTGATTGTACAAGCTCAAAGGTCCTGTGAAGCCAGGCTCATCTGGACAATCCCGTGAAGGGGCAGGGGTTGGCTGTGTCCTGATGTAGCATTCCATGGCCAGAGAGGAATCTGAGGCAGAGTGGTGTTTCATCTGAGATGTCAGCTTGGCTAGATGAAGGAACGCCTTGGCAATCGTGGGCATCATTTTCTGGCGTATATAGAAGTATGTTGCCAGAGAAGATTATCATAGAGCCTGGTAGTTAGTCGGGGAGAGCCATTTCTTCTGTGGACGGGGACCACCCAATGGTCTGAGGCCCACTAGACAGAAACAGAGGAAGAGCCCAAGTGTCTTTCTCCTGGAGCTGGGATGCATGCCTCTTCTCACCAACACCAGAACTCCAGGAGAACTTTGGTCCTCACACTGAGAGTGTACCCATTAGTTTACCTGGTTCCGAAGCCATTGGACATGGATTCAGTTATGCCTCGTGCATCCTGAGGTTTGCAGCTATGCCAAGCCTGTTATGGAACCTCCCGGCCTCCATAGTCATATGAGCTAAGTCTCACAAAGGTCTCTCTATATCCTATTGATTCTATCTGTCTACAGAACAGGTGGGTTATAGAAATAAACACTAAGCAGAAATTAAGAGCAAATGGTAATAGAAGATAAAAATTAAAAAGTTAAAATGAAGGCTGTCAGGATAGTTCAGAGGTTAAAAAAGTGCCTGTTGCCAAGCCAGAAAATCTAGCTTGGTCTCTGAGACCCACATGGTAGGATAGAACCGACTCCTGTGAGTTGTGCTCTGAGCTCCATACACACACACACACACACACACACACACACACGCTCGCGCGCGAATAAATAAAATAAATACATAAATAATTGTAAATAAAAGTTTAAAAAATTAAAAACAATTTAAAGTGAGGTATATTTTCCCTTTTCTTTTTCTTTCCTTTTTTTTTTTTTTTTTTTTTAAGAGCTCTGGTGGTTTTATTAAAGGAAAGCTTTTCTGGTTTACTGCTTCTCATCAGTCTGTTCTGGCATGCTTCTAATATTATCAGAGTCACCTGGGTCAACGATAGCCAATGTGCATACCTTGTAGTATTTTACACATGCTGTGCCCAATTCAATGTCATTGCCACTGTAGTGATGGACACCAGTTTTAGCCAACATGGCATAGTATTCTATTTCAGATTTTCTCAAAGCTGGGCAGTTGTTGGCGAGGATAACCAACTTCCCTTTGCCCTGTCTGATCTGTTTGTATCCCAGCACGTACTTCCCACTTTTCATAACAAGCTGAAGTCTAGAGTTGATAGATTCAAGTGACTTTTTCATCTTCTTTGTGGCCACCATCTTCCTGCCTTAGGTGCAGGACAGCCCCCAACCAAGAGCAGCTGCCAAGATGCCCGGGGAGCAAGAAAGGACTATTTTCCCTTTTCATATTTAGAATTTTTGTCTTTGTTACTGAATTCTTCAGTAGCCTACATGATTCTATATCTACAATTTGTTAATCATTCGCTCCATGTGGTTAGTAGGATTAAAGTTAGGTATATCCAGCAGTCAACTCTTTAGTTTCAGGAGGCTCATGTAGTTAGTGGCCAATATAGACCTAGCACATTACTGCCATGACAGATGGTCCTCAGGGACAGTGTTGGTCTGATCCCACCCCGGGTTTAAGCACCGTCATCCAGGACGTTTACATTAACTTTGACTGAGGTGACATTGTCAAGCAGAAATGCTTATTTGCATATGGCCAACTGTATGTTTTCTCTGAAGTGTGTCTCCTCCCTGTTAAACTGTCAGTGGGCTGTGGGAGTTTAAATGGGAGACAGGAGGGAGGGGTGAGAGGAGATAACGGGAGGCGGAAAGTGACTGAGGTCTCCAGGGCAGATTTGTGGCTTTACTTTTATGATGTAGGTATTGAGTCCAATAGGACTTTCAGGTTCTAATGCAATTCAAGGCAAGGTCCACCTTGTGTCTGCCACCACTCACATACATGCCCTGTGTGCCATTGTGCCCTTCTTGGGTTTGTGTGAGACAGTTTGTGGCCCCTTTTATGACAACATCCATGCTTTAGCTGGTATAAGCTCATGGAGGCAAAGTGTCCTTGTCTCTCTCACTTTACCAAGTGGTCATGGCTCTCCATTGACCGCACTTACATAGATGATCTTTAAATCTAGACTTTGTGTTTTGTACACACACACGCCCATGCACACATACACACATACACACATGTGAACAAATGTACACATGAATATGTGCACCCTTGAACACATGCATACACACATGAACACACTCGAACACATGCACATGCACACATGTGAACACATGCACACTCACACATGCACACACATACACGAGCACATACACACACATTCAAACACATGTGCATGCACTATAGCTGGTATGATAGCAGCAGTGCTTGCTTGCTGAGTTTGGTCCCCAGAACCCATAAGAAAGAACACATAGGTGTGGGGCTTCATGTTTATCATCCTAGCCCTGGGAGAGAATAAAGGTGGATCCCTGGGGCTTGTGAGCCAGCCAGCCTGGCTCACAACTAGCCTACCTGGTAAGTTCTAGGCCAATGAGAGACCTTGTCTCAGAAAACATCCAAGGCTGTTCTTTGTTCTCCCCAGGAAAATGTATGTGTACATACATACATAATACATACATTTATGTCTATATTTGTATATATGCATATACATGTGCATATGCATATGTGTATGTATGCATGCATGCATAATTGCTTAACTATGAAATAAGCCCCATTATACTCTCCTTTTGTTAAGACACGGTATATGACACAGTTATGGTGGTGTGTACCCATAGTCCCAACCCTTGAAGGCTGAGGCACAAGGGTTACCATATGTTTAAGGCCAGCCTTGAATACATAGCAGGGAGAGATGGGGCAGCATAAATGTGTGAGGTATTTTAGTCTGGGACTGAGATTCCAGGTGTCAGGGATGAGTTCAAATCCTCCCTATAGAGTTAGAAATCCACAGTGATGCTCAGCAAAGCTTCTTCCCCAAAGTGCTCTGCCTCTGAAGCCCACTAATGAATGCACCATGTTGCCATGGTAATGGTAACTTTTGGTACTTTTTATAGATTAAAGTGTTACACTCTGGAATCTATTCATGTAAAATCCTGAATTTTAAGACTTCCTTTCATGTAGCTATTTTATGGAATAGCATCACACCTAACTGACCAAGTCTGTGTTTAGTACCAACACACACATTGACAGGGTACAGACATGCACAGTGACCGCATACAGACATGCAGTGACTGGGTACAGACATGCATAGTGACTGGGTATAGACACACACACACAGTGACTGGGTACAGACACACACAGTGACCGCCACACACATACACTGTGACTGGACACACACATGCACAGTGACCACGTTCAGACATGCACAGTGACTGGATACAGACATGCACAGTGACCAGGTACAGACACGCACAATGACCAGAAATTTAGCATTTTCATCAAATAGGATATTGTATTAATAAAATACAAGTTAACTTTATTTATCCCTTTATTTAACAATACTTGAAAAATTACAGCACAATATACAGAATGTATACATACATCAGAAGTGTACATACATCTCGCTTGTTGGTTTGTTTTACCGAGGGCTGAATTCCCAGTTCTTGTGAAGACTCAAAAGATTTGGAGAATACAGAGGCTGCTAATCAAAGGGGAAGATGCTGGTGAGGCTCTGACCGGAAAGGCAGCTCAAGCCTGGACTGGGGCACTGGCTTTAACTTTTATTAGCTACGGAGCCTTGAACAATGTTCCCAACTGTAAACGAGGTTATTATATCAACTTTGCAGGCAGTTGTGAAGAATGAATGTGTTTATCTTCATGAAGTGGCCTCTGTGGTGCAAAATGACTTAATGACCTCAAGTTGACACTTAAGACATAAAGAATGGGACACAATATATCAAGCCCCCAAATGCTAAGGAAATTGGCTATACCAGGAATTGAAGATGTGGAAGGAACCAGAATTTTCTGCAAGACTTGGGTCTCCCAATGAGCAATTACTTGAAACAACAGCAGCGGGTGATGACAATATGTAGTTTGGTTATGTGACATTTGTCCATTTTTTAGGCCAAGTCTTACACTGAAGCCCAAGCTGGCTTTGAACCCATGACAATCGTCCCACTTCTGCCTCTTTGCTTGGGTTACAGGTGTGAGTCACTACATCTGGCTTAAAAAATATTTTAAAAATTCATTCAGGAATATTAACCAATTTGTACATGTTACATTTCTGTTGAAAACAGAAAGTGATTGTTTCTAGGAAACTAATAACTATTTAGTGAAAAAAAATGTAATTTTCAGACTTTATTTTAACCTTTAAAAAAGTCTAAGTGGCTCATTTATCCCATGTGGTCCAACACCGTGGTCAAGGTCAGTTTCATCAGTCGGTTCTTTTGGAATCAAAAGGAATTTTCTAGAAAATGGACAACAGCTGGAGGGCTATGTTAGAGTTCTCAGGAAAGGCCTGTTGGCCCCAGCAGTGCACCCTCTTATGTTACAGACATGTGCAATGAAATTGACTTGCCTGTGGCCAGAGCAGGATGCTCCTAACCTGTGTTTGCAGCCCACTTTCATCCTGGAGACTTCCTATGTCTCAGACAGTTGTGCCCTGTTCTGGAAGCCATGTTCTTCCGTGATTCTGGAAGCCAAGTTCTTACCTCACACTCACCTACATTTGAACTCATTATCTGAGTCCTAAATAATTCCATCCTGATGTTGCATTTTGGCCCAAGATGTTTCTACTTTTCCAGTCTCCTAGTATGGAAATCATCTCCTGATGGATCCCCGACCCCTGATGTCCATGCCATGGATAGAACTCCCCCCCTCCCCCGTATCTGTGACATGAACACAACGACCAGATTTCAGTGAATAAAATACAACAAAGGTGATGGGTATCAGTTCTGAGGTGGGACTAAAAAAGATCATATTTTCCATCTTCTTCATATATTCTTCCTCTGACGCCTCTCACATGCTTGCTGTGATATAGCAAGCTGGAGAAACTCACACGGCAAGAAACTAAGGGCAGCCTCCAACCCACCACCAATGATGCAAGACCCTTACCCTAATATCTCACAGAAGCAAACCCTGCCAGCAACTGTGCAGGCGACCTTGGAAGCAGACCCTCCAGCTGAGCCTTCAGATGACGTCACAGTTGTCTGACACCCTGACTATAGCCTTTAGAGAAACCTGGAGCTGTATACGCAAGTAAGCTGTGTCTAGATGTCTTGCCCACAGACACCGTGAGTCACCTCTTATATCACTAAGTTTGCATTAATAGTTTGTCACTCATCAATAGATAGATAACAGATACACCCACCTGCCCATACTTACATCCTAACCAACTACTAGAAGCTCTCCTGTGCTTCTCACAGCACCTAACTCGGGTCCTTCTAGAATCTGAGGACAGGTAATGGGCTGTTTAGGGAGAAGCCTATTGCTCAGTTCACACATGCCTCCAGATGCCCTTTCCTCTGCTCTGCAACAGCTTCTCCAGTCTGGTCTTGATCCCAGGTCCTCCTGGAAGTCAATGTTCTCCTCACTCTTCTGCCTTGCATTTCCGGTACTCCCAAACCAGGCTTAGAGCCACATGGTATTTATTCTTCGGTGTGCCTGACCTCGATTCCTGTTCCACAGCCAGACTGTTACGCTTCTTAGCTGATCTGGTTGGCAGGGTTGTAGTCCATGGCTGAGTTACATTTTTGACTTTGCACAGTACCCACATAAATCCAAATAGCTTGGGTAATACATCCCTGCAAGGTGGTGAGAATCCTATCAACAGCATTATAAGGCCAGGTTCTGAGTTAGCAAAACAAGGACCAATCCCGACACCAGTTTTGGCCCGTGGCTCCCCAATAGCTCCCCTTGACCTCTCATTCCAGCTCTGCCACCACGAGGAGGCAGAAACCATTTCAAATGCGTGTGTCAAGTCCAGAGCTCTTCTTCCTGTCTTTCCAGGGAGCACAGGATGGAACTTGGCAGATGTGTGGTCCTCATAGGGAGATGTGAATGTTCCAGCTCCAAGCAGGGTTGCCAACTGGCACCACCACTCAGTGGCACAACAGTGACTCATGAAAGCAGCACGGAGTAGGATGTGGGGCTGAGAATCAGTTCCCAGGCTCTCACCAGCAATTAGGAAGCAGGCCATTGACTCGGGGCCAAGAAAATAAGAGTAGAAGTCTTGTTTCCTGCTTCCCGAGGGCTTCCACACACTCACTCATGCCAACGTGCCTGCCCAGTGTGTCCCTTGCCCTGAGCCCTCTGACCCTACAGTTGCTTTCTGCTGACACTATTTTGGAGTGATGGCTAGACT